CTTTTTTCTGCCAAGGGCCATTTATAACATCATTCATGGGACATACAAAATTATCAACTTGAAAATTAGCCTGCTGTATTTGGTCAGATATTTAATTAACTCACCCCTAATGTGATGGCTGGAACTGCTTCTCTTTGGTAAGACCTTGGCAGGGCCAGACCAAATGATTGCTCGGGCCCACATATGGCCCGCCAGCCGGACATTCCCCACCCCTGATCTATACAAACACTAAATTAAAGTCAAGGCCAAAAAGACCAGGAAAGTAATCTTCAAAGTTTAAGATTCTCTTCCTTTAAACTATCCCTCTACTTCTTTGTAGTCAGAAAAATCAATATCAACAATACAGGTTCATAGGGTTATCTTCTGAGCAAACTGCCCCTTACTTTACCCTGGAGAAAATAGGACGGCACTAGTCCTGGCCAAATCAGTTAGAAGATGCTATTCAAAACTGTTCAGTGTATTAAAGCAATATAGCATAACGCAACAGCCTAAAATATAGTAAGTTCTCCATTCACCTTCTCCTGGTTGGCAGAACAAAGATTCATAACTAAAAACTTCAGAGTCTAGAACAGTGAAATTCATTGTTCCCCTTTTTGCCAAGCTATGTGGTCCCAAGGTGAACTCTGGAAACTGCAGACAGTGAACTAACAAGACAAGATAGGTTCTAATGACTTAACTGACATAAAATGCTCTTTAGCATCCATCTATTCTCAAGGAAGAACTGAAATGCAATCGAATACCAATCTGGTATGTTCTACCTCCTAAGCAAAATGATCTGCTGACACTTGGAGATAAAAACGAACCAGGGTTATTAGTCAGTCATAGTAATGAGGAACTTTTGCTGAAAAAAGTTGAGAAGAATGGTAGCTTGCAGAGAATGAGAATCATGGCTCCCCTGAAGTAAAGTTACTTCATAAAATAATTCAGATGTACCTGGCTCTCCTGTACTTGGATCATGATCTATGATGACTCTAAGGCCTTGCCAGATAAAATTTACTGATGCAGCAAGGTCTGGTCCTCTCTGGTAAAGTGAAGTGAAAAAAATGAGTCCATTGTTTAGGTCAGTCAGCCTAAAATATCAAGACAATGGAGACAATAACTGGGCTTTACTTAATTCTACCTGCCTGGATTCATTTGCAAACTCATGGCCCTGGATCCCAGTGGAAATTACCTTTGCACTAAAACACAGAAGAATCAAACTAAATCATCCTAATAACATAGAAACCATGGGTTAGAATTGTATGGTAACTTCTAAAACCATCTTTTCCCAGCTTACCTATAATGATGCCCTTTGGTTACTCTAATTGAGCCTACTGTATTCTGAAAACAATCTTGTCCTCACTCAGCATTATGCTCTAACACTGATCTGAAATGATGAGTGAAACCCGCCTTCTCTCATCCTAATATAAATATCTATGATTGGCGTTAGTAATCATTTATGAAAATCAAGCACATTTCTGGGAATGTGATTAGAAGCAGCACAAATCTGCCTTTATAGTTTTAGCAAATAGAAGATATATATGAAATCTTTACCTGAACACATTATTTGAATCATACATCCTGTACCTAGATATTTTCATTCTGCACTTTGCTCTCTGGGTCTGGTCAAAATGAAGCTCAAGAAAATCTATGACATTATGAATAGCGCTACCTCACACTTGATATTTTTTATTTATGCAGTTTCCTTCTGTGAAAATTTAATTCACTGTCAATTTTTCCCCTAAAAGTACCTGGATGAGAATTAGCTTGAGACTTAGGGATGAATTTGACTTGCCACCTTAAACACTGAAGAATTAATGACAACCCCTCTAATGTTCCCTCACCAATAAAAAGCCACAACAAAAACTCTAAACCAAACATCAAGGAGAGGATATCTTTCTTTTCCCAAAATAATGTGAAAATACAAAGTATTTCCATCCAGCACAAACAGGAGTGGAAAACAAAACAAAACAGAGGAAATTAAGAGGCAATTGGTTACAGGTATATCTCAAACTGAAACATAAATAAAAAGGGTCAAGACACAAACACATACACACACAACACACACAGACATACGCATGAATAAATTATTCAGGAAAACATTAACTCCTGGTTTCTTTTATGAAGATAACAATATGAAACTGATTTAGGGACAAATTTTGAGCACTCAGGTTGGAGTTCTAAGGAATGACTAGAACTGCTACACAATGGTCATCTATGGGAATTTGCCAAAGCAGCTGTAAGAAGAATTATCTTCTCTCCCAAAAGTTCCAGGCATAACAAATTGTGTTCTTAGAAATGTTTGTTTTATATTATACAAATCGATTTTTATATTGACTATGGTCTGAAATTAGAGTGATAGCTAATTTAGTAGTCAAGCACTTGGTCTTGCATGCATTGTCAAGTTTCACATTGCTAATTTTCCAACAAGCAGTTTTGTTTTCAAATGCCCCAAGGCCAATTACTGAGCCCAAACATAAACTTTGTAAGCAAAGAAACTCCAAGAAGCAAGAAAGTTTATACACACAACACCATCAGGATTCCAGTGTTCACTGTAGCTCCTCTGATTTTAGAATTCTATTCTCTTATATACTTACCAGTTTTTGTTATACCGTTTTCATTTTGATGAGTCAGTTTTCAGGAGAATGTCCGAGTTATCAAGCATAGAAGACCTCTCATACACTCTGGACAGTCTAGCAGGGTATGTTTATCTTACATGTTATGAACAATATAACTATTTCTTAACTATTTTGAAAAGATTTCTTTTCAAAATACTTACAAACATACGTTTTATTAGAATACAATATGTTTGATAATCATGTTTATATAGGGTATTAGCAAACTCAATAAATAGTGATTTAAAAGTGAAAATACTTTAAGTTTACACATGCCATGAACAATTCATCAATGTCATTCATTGTTTTGCAAAGTATTATCTTCTCCAAATGAAGCGTAATTTATAAAACTGAATATTACAGTCATACTATTGGCAAATATATTTACTCACTTTTATTAGAAGGGGGACTTTTATAACAACTGTGTGAAATAATTTTGTCTGGAAGAGTGAAAGATTTCAGGGAAGTATTTCTTTGGGGAGAAGAAAGCCTCCTTGTGTTTTGGAAGTTGTAATCTGTATGCATACAGAACTATCAGAGAGATGAGTGGCCTAGTTAGGGTCATTGTAAATACCTATTATAAAAGTAACTAAAAAGGAATCAAATCTTACTTGGGAAGAGATCAACTTATCTGTTATTTGGTTTTAGGTGGTAAATTAGGCTCAAGTGTCACCTGTCCTTGTCAATGAAGATTCTGTTTGTCAGTGGTAAACTGTTCAGAATGAAAGGTGATGGAAACATCTCTTTACATTCGAAAACATGTAATACAATGAAATCTGAAAGATAATTCCTTTTCCTTTTTTCTATTAAATTTTAAATAATTTATTTATGATGAGAGTTACAGATTTCTTTCTGGGAGATGTTATAATGATGCCCCTTTCAGAGCAACTACATCATAGTCTAAATGTTTGTTAGCTACCTGCCCAGGTATCCTTTTGCCACCTTATTAAAGTAAAATTAAGTTAGGTAAATCCCACACTATGCAACGTAACAAAAAAAAAAAAAAGGAAAAGGAAAAAAAAACCTGTTAAATTAGCCTTTTTTAGTTAATTTAATAAATTCAAGTAAAATGTAACAGAAAGTATTCATGTCAGGAATATAAGATTATATATTGTCACTTTTAAATGACAAGGTAATTTAGAGCTACTTGAAAGTTTATTGATTAAATATGAGTCACCAATCTTCATTCTGAGCAGTTGTATTTAAATATATTAGAAATCTGCTCCTTCAACTCTGTTCAAGACTGCTAAACTAAAACAGAAAAGAAATCATAGTTACACCCTAAATAACTTTATATGTATCACTGGTTGCTATGACAGTTTACAACAGAAAACCATCACATATAATATGGTTAGCGCCCATAATCACAGAGAAAATCACATAAAGCATTAATCCCCAAAAGATGAGCATAAGTCCTTTCTAATAAACACTGTACATGGTGTACTCAAATCTACTCAAAAGATGTATCAAAACTTATTTCTCAATTTTGAACCTTTGTTTTTAACTAATATACAAACTTACAGATAAAACAGAAAAAATTTTTTCAGATTTATTTATAAGGCTAAAAAAATGTGAATTTTATAGTTACCTTCACTTCTCTATACATGCATTGTCCCTGAGATATTTCCTCTTTCCCAGCTCAAATAAAAGCAACATGAAGTTATTTTACACCACAATTTAAAGATTATAAAGAATAACACTGGCAGTTGTACTTGACTGGGTTCTATCCTGCCTCCAAAAATACAGTAAGTGGATCAAACATTTATTTAAAAAAACTTCTCATTGTCTCATTTAGAGCATTTCTATATCATCTGATGGAAAGGTTTTTTGAGAGATTATGATATATTATATTGCAAGCTTATTGTAAACAAATGGTATATACTTTATCATCAAATTTAAAGCTGTAAAATTCGTAATTTTCCAGTATCCCATAATTGGATTTACTTCTAATTATCATCTATTTGGCAAAGAACTTAACTTTAATAGGGGGATTTGGTTTTGCAGTAGTCTTGTAAATAAGCACAAAGTAAATTAATCTTTATTATTTTTAAAGGAAATTGCAAAATCTATAGTTTTGATTTGTAGTTAACTATTTCACAATTGGCCCAGATCTTAATTGTGCCATTCTCCACTCCCCCTCTTCACCCTCCCAACCCCATATTAACTTTCATATTATCTGGTGATTGTTTGTTTGTTTGTTTGTTTTTGTTTAAAAACAACACTGAAGCCTCTTCATGAACTTTTTATGCTAAGCACTTGCTTCGAAATCTTGCTAATAGTAAGAGCAGGAAATGAGTCTTGGGTTAACCAGTTAGGACAAATCCTTAGGTGTGGATCTAGAATGGGATAATGACAGGAAGGTTCCTGTGGTCCTTGAGAAAGTTGGGAGGACTTGAGAAATCTCACCTTTTGAGCTGCTTTTGAGGGACTCTTGTTTTTGCTGCCTTTGGGTCTTCCCCTGGGTCTCTTAGGAGAGGGCTCACCGGTTGGCTCCTAATTATGGAGAGAGAAAAAAATGCTGTTGTGGCAAGAATGTCTGCAAGAAATTGACCGATTCTATAGTTATATTTTCTGCATGTGCTGCTCCACCGAACTGTTGGAAAACACTTCAGTTCAAACATAAATAGTGATGATGGTAAGAGTTTTCAGAAAGGGGGAAATAACCATACTTTCAATCCAAAGGTTCAAAGAGGAAACTATTTTACATATGAAAACTAGATTCTATTTCAACCCTACAAAGGTAACAAAGGGTGACAAGTTTGCATGCTCTAGAAAGAAAGTCATACATTAAAGTGAAAAAGTTGCATGGTTATGCATTTGGCAACTCAGCAATAAGCATTTTACACAAATAAGACCAGCCATCATTGTACTAGCATTTCGAACAGAAACACGAAGCTAATATCATAAATATTTCAACAGTCTTTCCTACTGATGGTTTTTAATCATCTCTATATATCTGCATTGTAGGTCAACACATTGAGTGAAATATTGGAGCAATTATCCAAGTTCTTCAACTCAAAACAACTCCATTCCCCTTAAAATTTCCAAATAATTATGGTAAATCTGTTGTGGGAGGTTTTGCTTGAATTATCTAGATAATTGCTTCAATTCTCCACTTCCTTTTAGAGATTCCGGCATGGTCTCTAGTCTAAATTTAAATATCTTTTGATAAAAATGAACAATTTCTCCAAAACTTTCTTTTGAGAAAACTCCTTTGGGGGGTGAACTGGAGAAAACTAAGAGGGGGGGAGGGGGAAGTGAGGAGGAATGGAAGTGTCTGGGAAGGAGAAATTGAAACTATCAATAGGTTTTAGCAAAAACTTTAAACGGCTTCTTTGCCAACTAGTAAATACTCGAGTGGTTAAGAGAATGCGATGATTAATATTCCAGTTCCTGAATATTTACCCAGCGAGTCATCAAATTACATTTCATTCAGATTTGGTGATTAAATGAGACCAATTAGCTTAAACCTCATGGAAGTCTTGAATGAAAATGCACATCCTAGTGAGAGAATCTGGGGAAGGTCACTGAAAGCTTCTGGGGGACCAGGAGCGCCAGTGGGCACATCCGGAGCAAACACATCGGAGACACATTTTTCCTTTCTTTGTGAACTCTGCCTTAACTCAAAGGTAAAACCTCCAATCACCTCCAGACCCCACTGCAGTTTCTTTTGGATTATTTTTCGGAGGCCGGAGGCAATTAGAAGAGCCAGAGAGAGCTGGGTGGCGGGTGGGAAACCAGGGCGGGGGGACAGGCAGAGACTTCCCGGGAGGTGTAAAGCAGGATCCCAACGCCGCGTAAAAGTGTCGCTTGGCAGAGCGGGAAAGCTCAGGGGCCTCTAGATGGGCTTGGTCCCTTTGATGATTTCAAAAAGGTACAACCCTCTCGGTGTTTCTAAAACGCGCTGGCAAGCAAACTTTGTTCGCTCCATATCCCCCACCTTGCTCTCAGGCAGCTTTGGGACTCTAGGATAATTCTCTAACCGGCCTATTTGCCGTGAAGGAAGCCGCTTGTAAGGCTAAGGAATGAAGAAGTTTTAAAAGCCCGCGGAAGCGAAGTTTAAATGTTCTCAATGGACGTGTTGCGCTCCAGCCCTGCCCGCCAAGGCTTGGAAATTGCTGCGAACAAAACCCCCCGCCCTGGGCGCTGCGCGCAGCCCTGCAAGCGCCGGCTGCACGCTTAATTGGTTGCATCCGCAGACAAAACCCTCCACTCCGCGGGGTCCCGGGCGCCCCTCGATCGTCCCCTCCCAACCCCCCAGCCAATGGCCCTGGACTAACATATTTCATGTCTGAAGCTGAGGCGCGGGGTCCGGGGGCAAAAGGGAGACTGGACGCTTGGCGAGGAAGTGACCCTGGCTACGGTGCACCCTTTCGGACATTACTTTCCATCGCGCCCTCGGCCAAAAGAGCTAATCCCGTCCCCGGCGGACTCAGACTCCGCCGTAGCCCCTTCCCCGGGACACCCCGGCGGCGGCGCCGCGTTTAAAGAGCCCTGAGAGGACCCGGCGGGCCCACGAGTTCTTTGTCGGGAGGGCGCGAGTCTCGGGCCACCGAGAACTTGGGGAAGGCGCCAAGGGGGCGGCTGCGGCGTGCCAGACCCGGGCCCGCTAGCAGCCCCGGATGGCGGGAGAAAGAGCCGGCGAACGGTCCCCAGGACCTCAGCCCCTCCGACTCTGCCCCTCCACCGCACCCTCGGCGCCCCCACCCCACCCCCGGCACTTCCTTCC